ATTCCTACCGAACACGCAATAGTCCCACTTCGACCAGGTTTGACAAAAACTGGACCAGTTTTGCTGTGACCGAATGCATGAAGCTGTAGATCCCAAACCTGATTTTTTTATTGATTTTCAAGTTGATTTCTAGCCCAATCGCGCGCACGGCCAGGTTTTCGAATCCAACTACAGTAACACTTGTGACTAACGACCACCCCTTGCCCTTGGGGCCAGAGAAAGCGGTCTTTAGTGGCAGGTGGTCCTTAGTTAGAGGTTTGCACCGCAGAACATTATACAATAAAACCTGTGACTAACGACCACCCCTTAGGGCCAGAGAAAGCAGTCTTTAGCGGCAGGTGGTCCTTAGTGAGAGGTTTGCGCCGCACAAGCACTATAATGAGTGTGAGACCGTCCGTGCCTGGCAAAGTGGTTGGCGGTAGTACCAGGCTGGTCGCTAGTCACGGTGGGCTTTAGTTACCCATTTTTGCTGTACGGTAAACTGCCCAATATTCGCGTCACTAAATTTTCGCGATTTCTTAGAGCCAGCAAGTTTACGATGGCAAAAGTTCGCGAAGCACCGGGGCCACCTACATACACCCACTGTTGAAGTTTGATTTCACGCTGGTCAGTATTCGTGTTACGCTCTTCTCGCGAAAATAGCGAACATTGATCCGTGGTGAATAGTAGTCAGTTTACAGTAGTCTGTTTGGTGTGGGTGTGTTGTAGGAGTGTAAGTCGTGATGACCCTCTTGACTCTGGCCGAGCTTTCTTTAGTTCGCTGTTTGGCGTGCACTTACCTGTATTGTAATTCTGTCTCTTTGACGGTCGTGTATTCTGGTCGATGCGCTCCTGGTGAGTCCTGGATGGAGCCCTATCTAATACTTGTCTGTCTGTGTTTCCAAGTCTGAAGAAAAAGTTGAACGGTCTCTGCTGGGATGACAGTTACACCATAGCTCAGTGGTTAGAGCATTGCTGGCCTCAAATGAAGCTCCCTGGTATGAGTCCTGGTGGTGGCAGTCAATGTTTTTCTTCAGACTTTTTTTCCCCTTTGCATCTTTTCCCTCGAACCAATGGACTCTGTCTGTGTGTCTGTGTTGTGTGTCTGTTGTGCACTGCTGCACATTGCTATGCGGCCATGGCTCTGGCTGTGCAGGAAACGTCGTCAGATGTCGCAACGGCAGTGCCAGCTAGGAGACCGTCAGAAGGCGCTGCATCGGAAGCCAAGAAAGCTAAGGTACTGGTGCCTGTCATGCTGTTGCTGGCGTTGTTGTTGCGTCTTGTGTGCTGGATGGAGACTTCAGTGTGTTGGCTTTCATCTTGTGCTAGATATACTTGTAGACTGCAGTCTGTTGGCATATGTTGCGTGCTGGATGGAGACTTCAGTCTGTTGGCTTTGGTCTTGTGCTAGACATACTAAGTCTTGTAGACTGCAGTCTGCTGGCTTGCATTGCATGCTGGATGGAGACTTCAGTCTGTTGGCTTGCGTTGCGTGCTAGACCTTGACGGATAATGTCGGCAGACAAATTGGCAGAAGTTGTTACTTTGTTCTGGTATGTTTCATGCCTGTTTGGTACTGGCACGTGGATAAAGAAATGGAACGAAATGCAAGAAAGTGCCTGCCAGAGGGTTTGCATGGTTCTGCCAATTTCACTGCCTTTCGATCAGAATCTGCCATTTTTCAGCATTATCCGTCGATGGCTATCTTGTGCTGGATGGAGACTACTCGTACAGTCTGTTGGTTTGAAAGCGGCCGCCTACGTTGCTGAGAATGCACGTTTGGCCGCTTTCGAAAATTGCCGCGTGAATAATCGGAGCGCACTTTTCGAAAATGGCTGCAACCAATGGGGCCTTTGTAAAGAAAACAGCTATTTTATTGCAAGATGTATATCTATTTTTTACGGTCAGGGTGCCCCCAGATTCAACTGAATTGGCTATAGGAATGGTAACGAAGAGCCGTAGCATGTACAATTGATCGCTGGCGGTTGGTAGCGCCTCTATCCTCATGTTCACCATGCTGAGTACAGTCAGACCTCGCTTATCCGGTCCTCTTTTATCCGATCCCTCACCATCCGGAAGAAAATTGTTGGTTACTGATTTACAGCACATTGCGTGCATACATACAGCATGTGTGTTCGATTATCCGGTTCCCTCGCCTATCTAGGTGTTCAAGAAAAATCCCTCGCTTTCTATAATCACAATGCTTTAATGTATTCCCTGTACAGCCTTCAGAACCGTCCGAAGGTGGCTTTGAGAAGAAGTTCTCGGATCAACTGGTGAACTTCCTCATTCGTCTGTCTTGTTTGGTGAGTGGCTGTACACTGACTGCGTCTGTACTTGTTTTGTGAGCGGTGTGCTTCAGTTGAACATTTGTTTGCCTTGTCACAAGTAGTTGTCACCAACCTGGTGCGAAGCTCACTGTTCTTATAGCACTTGATGGACTCTGATTTCGTATACACGTATGTTTGTGTGAAAGTGCTTTGTGACACAGAGACGTACTTCATTGTGCAGGGATGGGATTGAGTTTCTCTGCTCCACGTGTCAGAATGTCTCCTCCTCCTCCTCCTCCTCCTCCTCCTCCTCCTCCTCCTCCTCCTCCTCCTCCTCCTCCTCCTCCTCTCTCTCTCTCTCTCTCTCTCTCTCTCTCTCTCTCTCTCTCTCTCTCTCTCTCTCTCTCTCTCTCTCTCTCTCTCTCTCTCTCTCTCTCTCTCTCTCTCTCTCTCTCTCTCTCTTCTCTCTCTCTCAGGCTGGTGATGCAACAACAGCCACAGGCGGCTCTAGTCGTGATGGTGCCTCCTCCTCGTCAACAGCAAGTTCTTCCAACTCTGCTAGTGCAGCCGGGGGACTCAGTGCTTCATTACCAAGCAGTGGAGGGAGTCACATGATTATGCAGCTCTCATCATCATCAGCCATCACGCCGGCGGAGTTTGCTCGCAGAACCCACGCACTCCTTAGCAAGTGCTTGAAGCCCTCCTTCTGGCAAGGTAATTAGGCTGGAGAGTGTGTGTATGTGCGTGTGTGTGCCTGTGTGTGCGTGTGTGTGTGCGTGTGTGTGCCTGTGTGTGCGTGCGTGTGTGTGTGTGTGTGTGTGTGTACATAGCCTGTCTTGGCCGTCCTATTCCGATGTACTCCGTGTGGTGTAGACCAGGTGTGCATTGGGGGGTCGATTCACATGGCTTTGCCAGTTGTGTGGATTAGACAGTTATCTGGCGCTTGTCTTGATCTGTTTCAATCAGAATCAGATCCGCTATCGTTGCTATAAAGAGAAAATCTGTGGGTGCACATCCAATGCATTTGCAGATTTGCGTGCTTCTCTTGCGACGGGCGTATACATGGTACATGGTGTGTTGTGTGTGTGTGTGTGTGTGTGTGTGTGTGTGTGTGTGTGCGTGCGTGCGTGCGTGCGTGCGTGTGTGTGTGTGTGTGTGTGTGTGTGTGTGTGTGTGTGTGTGTGTGTGTGTGTGTGTGAGAGTGTGTGGGTGGGTGTGCGCGTGCGTGCGTGTGTGTGTGTGTGGGGGGGGGGGGTGCGTACATCTGCGTCTCGATCCGTTTTACTCAGATTGTGAGCATTGCTTTTGCTATGAGATCCTGCCTGCCTGTTGCCCTGCACCAATGACAAGAGTTCGCTGCAGAGAAGGTCTCTGTGCTAGCCAGGTTATGTTATCTTTGTTAGTTAGTGTTAGACAAAACGGATAACTTGTTCACTTATGGTCCTCTCTTTTTTTAATTTTTTATTTATATCGCGATAAGGAGGACGAGCTGAAGTGACATTGGATTACTTTATTAAACAATGTGAAGCGATGGAGACGATGCGAAAACGGTCTAAAAAGGAAAGGAGAAATGCATGTACTTGAAAATACCGCCATTCCGGCAACAGGCTCTCAGCTGCACCAAATAGATAAATAAATAGCTTTGCCAATATTTTGCCCATTGGGCATTATCAGGGCATCAATGCAGCTGAGAGCCTGTTGCCGGAATGGCGGTATTTTCAAGTGCAAGAAATACCCTGCAATGGAGTTTGGGAATTCTGAAGAGAAATGCATGTATGAAGAAAAAGCTTGATGTATTTGCAGTAATTTTATACATCTGCTGGCTCGCCGTAAGGCTGCCAATCGTGAGAATGAGATTAAGGATGGTGACCAACCATGGCGAACTAAAAACTTTGGTCGCCAGGCCAGTGGGAATTTGTTCAAGGTGCAGTGCTGCAAGGCTAATCATCACTCACGTGATATTCTACATGTATGTGATTATGTCACAGCATGGCGCTTTGGGAAAGAGAAAAAGAAACGTGGTATATGCTCTGTGTGTGTGTGTGTATGTGTGTGTCTGTGTGTCTGTGTGTCTGTGTGTGTGTCTGTGTGTCTGTGTCTGTGCGTGTGTGCGCGTGCGTGTGTGTGTGTGTCTGTGTCTGTGCACGTGTGTGCGTGCGTGTGTGCGTGTGTGTGCGTATTTGTTGTTGTATTCAGATGCTGTAATCAGCATGCAACCCATTGAACATGCTTTCAGTAGCATGGTAAGTACACACGGCGTGTTAACCCTTTGAGAGCCGATTGGAAATTTAAAAATTCTGCATATGTTCATGTTCTTTGGGACGTAATTTCAGTTCTACTCACTCAATCTTCACAATCTTGGGCTTCCTGGAAAGGTCTCTGCGAGAGGAAGAGACTGAGGTCACGCATGATGACCAGGACGCCATATCTCCAGCGCCGGAGAGCAGCGAAATAGCGAAAACATAAACTCATGCACTGCTGAGCTCCTACTATTACTACTACTTGGCTTTGCGTCCAGAGCGTACAGCCCCCACCCCCGGAACAACAGCACTTTGAATCTTGAGAACTGACATGATGTCCTTGTATCCTGGGATGTATGGTATCTGAATGAGTACCACACCAGTAGATGTTGACGAAGACAGCGGATCAAGCACTAAACGCAGAATATCCTCCGTGAGTGCATTGTCCATCTAGACTTTCCCTGCCCAGGACAACACAAGGCAGTCTGAGGACTTTGTGACGACTTTATTTATTCATTTCTTTATGGATTCCCCAAAGGCCGAGGCCTAAGTCAAGGGGGTCTCCGTTCATGGCTTACTGGGAATATATCTGCAAAATCATAACATATAGATTGAGAAGAGGAAGGGTTATAACAAATGCATACTGTAGAAATCAGCCATAACATTCGTTACTATGTTATAGAAACTCTGGAACGAATGAAACCAGCGGGTTCAAAGGGGGTGTTGGCAAAGATGGTACAGACACGAGACACAAAGCAATGACTATTTTGGGTGGTTCTAATGTCAGTGGGGAGAGAATTCCAGGTGGCAAAGGTAACAAAGAGGAAAGTGGCACGCGAGTAGGTGTTCACCCTGGCAGGCGGGACAAGTTGGAGAGGGCGCCGCGCGCTGGTGGAGAGACTATAGCCCAGCTCCATAAGGGCAGTGGTCTGGTGGTGGACCAGGTGATGGAGCTCCCGGAGGCACTGGATGTGTCGCCGCCATGCCAGACTGGACCATTGGAGGTGCGCGAACAGAGATGCCTTCGGTTCAGTAGCGGAGGGAAACACACCGTACTGTCTCAAGACGACGCGTGCCAATCTGGCCTGCAGACGCTCAAGGACCGCCGCTTGGGATGCGGACAGTTGGAACTGCCACAGTGGCGAGGCGTATTCAATGGTGGGTCGGACATAACCAGTATAAAGCCGGTTTGTAACTTCCGGCGTTAGGCGGCTCGGCATGTGGGTAAGTAGTACCACGTGTTGTCCTCTTCGCTTCAGCCTCCGAAACGGGTTTCCAGTCCTTCATGATGGTATCTCTTGGAAGACTACATGCAATGCCCATCTTTCTCAGGTCCTTGTACAATGGTAGTACTGCTCTCCGTGCTGCGCGTTGCTTGGCAGTGAGATCGTGGTTGACATAGACGTTAGCGTCGCCAATCTTTAGCCTACACCTATGTTTCATTAGCATGGCCTTTGTAGGAGCTGTTGTACGCACTCTAATAAGCCGTGGCTTGCCTCCTGTTACTGGTTGACCCAGTCTCTGTGCCTGCATATCCGCTGCAGCAGCTCCTGGCACAAGGGACTGCAATGTCTTGGCAATATTCTCATCAGGTAGCTCAGCCATTCCGGAGATGATGACGTTGTTGCTGATCTCATGTTGCAGCCACTGGACTTCAATCAGCATGCGTACTGCCTCGGTAGTGAGCACTTGATGGTTTCCGATTGAGCAGCACATACGGCTCACACTTGGTGCCATTCCAGCTTGCACACAACAATAGATGTGAACCTTTTCGTGTCCAATCGTCTGTGCAGTAACATGCCGAGCTGCATGAGTCTTAATTCGGTGTTTAGTCTTGTATCAACTCAAGATGGATGGCTCTAGCTGATCGCTCACTGTGCGGGTCTGTGGATATAATTCAAAATAACATGCCATATCAAAATAACATATGTTATTTTGATGTGGCATGAAAGGCCTGAAAAGCTGATTAGGTATTCCTGTTTCTCTTTTGTGTGTGTGTGTGTGTATGTGTGTGTGTGTGTGTGTGTGTATGTGTGTGTGTGTGTATGTGTGTGTGTGTGTGTGTGTGTGTGTGTGTGTGTGTGTGTGCGTGTGTACGTGTGTGTGTGCGTGTGCGCGTGTGTGTGCGTGTGCGCGTGTGTGTGCGTGTGTGTGTGTGTGCGCGCGTGTGTACGTGTGTGTGTACGTGTGTGTGTACGTGTGTGTGTGTACGTGTGTGTACGTGTGTGTACGTGTGTGTGTACGTGTGTGCGTGTGTGTGCGTGTGTGTGTGTGCGTGTACATGCACACCCATATGTTGTCTCCAGGCCGACACAGTCAGTAGCGTACTGAACGTGTGCTCAGCACTGGAGGTAGTAACATTACTACTTGATGCACTGCCACGCGTACAAGTACTTGCTCATTTCAAGGCAATCTCGGCCGGTGTGATCAGCTGTATGTCCAGTACTAACAACAAGGTAACATACAGAGAAGAAGCTAGCAGGTCTTGTCTTGATACATGCCGAACGGTTGGAGTTCTTTTTTTAAAGAACTACAAACGTCAAACGTTAAAAGTTTTAACCCATTCAGCACTAAAGACGTGTATATACGTAAAAATGACGCCCATGCGCTGAGGACGTATAATATATACATCATGTTCAATGTCAAATAAGGAGTGCAGAGCCTGGGTGTCCTGACCTGTAGCCTTAGATGGATTAATCTCTTGTACTTCTGTGTTGTCATCTCCTCCTCATTCGCTTCTCTACAGTGGTGCCATTGTCATTAGGCAATTTGCCTGTTCTGTTTGCCACTCTAAATAATATACGTTATACGAATACGTGTCTTCACAAGCAGAGCTTTTTACTTGAATACACAGTTGCATGTGTTTTGCAGGTCAAGAATCACATCCCGCAATCCTACGTCTTATGATGGCACAGGTATCTTTGACTCGAGCACCTTGTGTCTGCTGCCTGTCGTGCGCGCGTATGTGTGTGCGTGTGTGTGTGTGTATCCGTGTGTGCGTGTGTGTGCGTGTGTGTGTGTGTGTGTGTGTGTGTTTGTGTGCGTACGTGCACGTGTGTCTGCGTGCGTCTGCGTGTCTGTGTGCTTGTCTGTACAGATTGTCAAGTCTACGCAGCAGCTGATGGCCAGGCTCACCACCCTGTTTCCCATTGAGCCCCGTAAGCCTGGTTTGTATCTTGGCAATAGCAAGCATGCAAGCTTCAGCTGGAGCAGCTGCACTGACTCAAAACTAGACCCCATACACTAGGCAGTGCTACCGTGTCATACGCACCGTATTTTCTGGAGTATAAGCCACACTAGGGTATAAACCGCTCCCAATTTTTTTGTCACGGAATACGGACATCCACCCTGTATTTCACGGTTCATTTCACCATTGTAGTATAACTTGGAACTGGTTTAGATTTGCAGTGCTGTTGCTTTTGTTCTATGCTTTGCAACCAGTGAAAACCCCAGTTCGTCCTCCTCACTTTGTGCGCTGCTGTGTTGCCACACCTGCCGACATGTCAGTTGCCTGCTGATTTTGGAGGCATGTCACAACCTGCCGACAATTGACCTTCTCCTGCCGACAACAGACATGAATGTCCAATTTTGCCCTTCTGCTTGGTTTAGAAGTCCTGGTCCAGATTTTTGCTGTTACTGGTCAGCAGGAGTGTTTGATGAGTAGCTGTTTCCTAAGTTGCTAACCAAAATCATTATCTGTCTCGGGAGAAATAGGAAAAATCGGGAAACTCAATCTGAGTTTCACGCAGAACTGTCGATTTTTCTTAAGAGTGCCCTGTGTGTTCATGTGTAGACCGCGGTTACTATGATCGGGGGTCCGGGGGCAAGGCCCCCGGATGGTGCGTTATATTTCTCTATCCTCCTGATATTTGGCTGAAATGATGTGGTAACACTGGCACTGTTGAACAGTGCACCTGCTCTTCACTCTATACCTTCTATGTTTTGTTGGTTTTTGGTGCTTTTTCACTATAACGTCACTCACTCCTGACATGATGCGCTTATCCCATCGATCAGTACTATAATATGGCCGCTCACCTTCCCGTTGCTATCCATGAGGTGTTATTTACTTGTGTACCGGTTGCCTCTGTGTTGTCATAATTATGTCAATGTGTCAATGTGTCGATGTGTGTGTGTGTGTCTGTAGTGACCACTGGTGCAGCATCTAAATACGAGGAACTGGAAGAGCTGTATACCAAAGTCTCTGTCGTTGTGACGGAGGGCTTTGGTCGATACGACCGGTATGTCGCTTGTCCGTGTATCTATATGCGTGTGTGTGTGTGTGGTGGTGGGGGGGGGGGGGGGGGGGCGTACGGCATGATTGCGATGCTCACACCCACCTACCCATTGTCTTCGTCTTTGTTTTGTGACCACTATCGTATTGTCTTTACGTCGCACCTGGTCAACTCGTTTTGTGGAATGGTTGCCATTTGCCCAAACTTTTTTGCATAGGCATCCAGTGTGCTGCTACAAACGTCATACTCATCTTGTTTTGTTGTGTGCATGCACGCCCCCTGCTATGCTTGCACGTTCACGTGTGTGTGTGTGTGTGTGTGTGTGTGTGTGTGTGTGTGTGTGTGTGTGTGTGTGTGTGTGTGTGTGTGCTTGTGTGCGTGTTTGCGTATGTGTGTATACGTGTACGGCTTCAGGCTACGAGATGAGGAGGTAGCGCGAGCAGCCTCCACCCCGCCGAGTGCACGTCCAGAGACCCGGTGAGTAGAGAACGTGTTGACAGTTGAATACAGTACCGTTGTCAGTGAATGTACGTACCGTATTTTCCAAAGTATAAGCCGCGCTTTAAAGGGGAAGTTCACCTTAAAATGAAAATTTCACAACTTATAGCGAAAAATGCACTGATTCCAATGGTAAAGGTCCCAGGTTTATCTCTCTGACGTCATGAATCCATGTGTACACGTGTGTGCTTGTGTGCGTGTGTGCATGTGTTAATTGGTGCATGTTCAGCAATGTGAGCACAGTGCAAATGCACGCTACCCTACAGCTGCTGAAGGCGGTATGTTCAAGCAGCAATGTATACGTAGACCGGTTCATACCCGTGGTCATACGCGTGCTGGGACGCATGCAGAAGGACCACATTGATCCGGCCAAGGCAACCGACACAACATGTAAGTGTGCATTAGCCGTGATGTAGTCTTGTGGTCATGTGACCTGTGGTGTATGTATCCTGTGGTCATGTGACCTGTGGTGTATGTGTCATGTGGTCAATCCGATTGAATGAGTCTAGTTTAAGTTACGCCTTGCATCAGTTCACATCCCAGTGCTCACAGGTCTAGGGCTGCGGCGTGTATTCTCACTTGATCGGATTTCATTGAGCAGGACTGTACAATCATGTTGTGTTGAATCCAGACCATCATTTCACATAATTGCAGCTACACCATGCTTGTGTCACAACTCGTGTATGTGTAGGCATGTTCTCATGGCCTTGTGTTTCGTGCGTTCGTGTGTTTGTGTTTTGCTGCTGTTGCTGTTGCCTGTACAGTGCCCGAGCAGATTGGC